CATAGAGGAATCCAAGAAAAGATTTCTTCCTATAAGACATGGTATATCTCTTTCGAAGGAAATGTGTCCTTCAACTCCACAAGAAAGAGAACGAATAAATAAGATTTCATATGCTTCGGCTATTGGTTTTATCATGTATGCCATGATATGTACTCGATCAAATGTATCGTATGATTTAAGCATGACGAGTTAGTATCAAGTAAATCTTGGTAAAATTCACTAGGTTGCAGTTAAAAATATCCTTAAGTATTTGCGAAGAACTAAGGATACATTCATTGTATATGAAGGGGAAGAAGATCTTAGTGTAAAGGGTTACACGAATGCAAGCTTTCAAACTGACAAGGATGACTCACAATCGTAATCAAGTTTTATGTTTTGTCTTAATGGAGGTACTGCAAGATGGAAGAGTTCAAAGCAAGACACAATAGATGATTCTACAACAGAGGTTGAATACATTGCAGCCAGTGAAGCAGCAAAAGAAGTTGTTTGGATCAAAAAGTTCATATCTGAACTAGGGGTTGTTCCCAGCATATCAGATGCTATAGAACTTTGTTGCAACAACAATGGAGTCATTGCACAAGCAAAGAAATCTAGATCTCATTAACAACCCAATTCTTAGGCGCTTTCATCTCATTCGAGAAATCATAAATCGAGGAGATGTGGAAATATGCAGAGTACACACAGATGATAACATCGTTGATCCACTGACGAAGCCTCTGGCACAACAGAAACATGATCGTCACACTAAATCACTCGATATTATATATGTAAGTGATTTGTCTTAGTGCTAGTGAGAGATTGTTAGAGTATGTCCAAAGACCAATCATGAGATGATTATAATGATACATTATATTTACCAATTTTATTGAATATTTAATAAAACTGATAAATATAATATATTATTATAATCATCTCATGATTGGTCTTTGGGCACTATGCTAGACCGAAGGAGAGCCATTAACAACTCAGTTTGTTTCTCAGGATCCAAACTTGGAAACCACCTAACTTCTTAATTCTGATGGCGCGGTTAACCAAAGTTCCATGGAGGCAGGAGGAGGAGGTGTTATCTGTAACCATAACGGGGACTGGATAATGGGATACAACCGTAATATTGGGCACTGCTTAGTTTTTGAAGTGGAACTTTGGGCTCTCTTGGATGGGTTACATGTCGCGTGGAAGCTTGGAGTCAGTCGTATGACGATTGAGATGGACAATGCCGAAGCAGTTTGTATGCTCTCATCTCTTATTCTAAGTTACAAACCAACTCTTATCCGAAGAATTCGTGATTTCCTTGTAAGTAATTAGGAGATCGAGTTGTCCTTAATCTGTTGGGAAGCTAATTGAGTAGCGGATGCGCTTGCTCGAAGTGGGTTCACAAGGCCAGCAGGGTTATATGAATTGTAGAGACCACCTGATGCTATCCAACAGTTAATCCAGTTTGGTAAGCAGATTGGAAGTAGATATTCTCTCCAATGCTAAGATTTAACCTTTTAATTGTTACCCCAAAAAAAACAACTCAAGAGTAGGAGTTCTCTTCCTCAACTTTAAAGCATCATTTATCATTCCTTTCATCGTTAATGTTATTTTATTTTAATCATTTATTTATTTCAAGACCCCATTTTACTATTTTTAAAAAAAAATATTTTACCGATTTAACCAGCAAATGCCAACGGAATCAATTTTATTTTTAATACAGGTTGCGTCCAAACAATGATTTGCAAATAGAAAACTGTTGCAGTGTCCCCAGTTCCTTACAAGCAATGTCATAATTGGCAACCCCACATTGAAAGCTCGAAACCTGAGAGACCAACTACTCACCAACCACCACGATCTCAACCCGTCTGTTTGGGCAAAGTTGAAAAAAAAAGAAACCTTGCTTTTCTTTCCTTTTTGGTTTTCTGATATGGCAGATGAGCCTTTTCTCTCCCCCCAATCAAAACCCCAACTTCGACACCTCCTCGAAGACCCTCATCATGGCTTCTATTTTACAATCCCACAGTCAATCTCCACTCCAACTCTTTTCCCATCCGAAATCGAAGACAATCCACAGGTTCAACCCCCCTCGCCTGATTATCCTGATCCCAGTACACGATTAAAGAGACCCGGTTCTCTCAAGCGATGTAAAACAGCCCCTGCAATGGCCGTCATGCGTGATTTGAAGCCCAAAACACCCCAGCTTCCCAAACCTCAGTCCGATTCCAGCACCATTATCAGACAAGCTGTTTTCTTGCTTTCCATTTACTTGATACTCGGCGTTGCTATCTATTCGTTTAACAGAGATGAATTCTCGGGTGTCGAGACTCACCCGGTTGTCGATGCTCTTTACTTCTGTATAGTCACAATGTGCACGATTGGTTATGGTGATATAGCCCCTTTAACCCCGGGTACAAAGATTTTCTCCTGCGTTTTTGTATTGGTGGGTTTCGGTTTTATTGATATTTTGTTGAGTGGGGTTGTTAATTATGTTCTTGACTTGCAAGAGAACATGATTTTAACTGGGATTCACATGGAGAAAACGAATCGAGGGTTTTCGGCTAGGGATTATATCGTCGATGTCGATAAGGGAAGGATGAGGATTAGGCTTAAGGTTGGTTTGGCACTTGGAGTTGTGGTTTTGTGTATTGGAATTGGATCTCTGATTTTGTACTTTGTGGAGAGCTTGAACTGGGTTGATTCTGTTTACTTGTCGGTTATGTCGGTTACTACGGTTGGGTACGGTGATCGGGCGTTTAAGACTCTGCCCGGAAGGTTGTTTGCCGGTGCCTGGCTTCTGATTTCCACGCTGGCTGTTGCTAGAGCTTTTCTGTATTTGGCTGAAGCAAGGGTTAACAAGAGGCATAGGAGGATTGCTGAGTGGGTGTTGCAGAGAGATATCACTATTGAGGATTTGCTAGCTGCTGACATCAATAACAACGGTTTTATCAGGTTGGATTTCAATCTTTCTAGCATATTTTCGATTGAACTTGGCTCAATGCATGTTGCCAGAATTGTCGCGAATTTAGAAAGGTGATGTGCTGATTGATTTCTGTCCCAAAAAACATGTTTGAAAGAGATCACCCCTAAGAGATTTTATATCATCCTATTAGATGCCTCAAGCTTGATACTAAATGATCATTGCCTGTAGTTGCCTAATCGCAACTAAAGAATCGCTTTTAATCTCTACATGCCTGACCTGCATTCCAAGAGCCATTCAATACCAAGAAAAATCATCTCCGTCAAAAGTGTGCCCTTATGGCCAGCTTGTATCTATAGTCTTGCTGCAATGAAGAATCCGTTCGCCTGTCTTAAGACCACCCCAGACCCAATCATTTTACCACATCAACCACATCCTGCATCAACATTTAATTTACAAAAACCATGTGGTAATAATGTTTTTGTTTTGTTCGGTTTTCCCTTTCATCGCAGTAAATCGGAGTATGTCATCTACAAGCTCAAAGAAATGGGAAAGATTGGGGAGAAGGATATATTGCAAATATGCGATCAGTTCAGCAAGCTTGATACTAATAACTCAGGGAAAATAACTCTTCCTGATCTCTTATTAGAAAATCACTGGCGAATCTGAGCAGACAAAGTTAATTATATTCACTTGGCTGGAGATTCTAGCCTCGTTCTTGGAAATGGGCATTGCATGTAAAATTGTGTATTCATTCAGGTTAGAAATCCCAATTCTATGATTTTTGTCGAGCTGTTGTGATGTAAAAAAAAGAAAATGGAATTTGCACGAGAGAAAAGGGCAACAAGATGCTTCTGATCTCATTCATATTTGAATTGTAAAATCTTTGTTTCCTATGTATCCATCATCCGGACTCTTGAAATATAATGAAAAGTAAATATTATTCCTAAATGATGCTTCTTTTTACCTTTATGTTTCTTTTTTATATCACAAGTTGTTTGCAAAGGTTCTTTGACTGTATAGGTAGCTGAGAGATCTTGCAGGTAAATATTATTCCTAATTGCTGCAGGTAAATTCTGTTTATTCGAAGATTCCGGTGTGCTAATGGCATTATTAAATTCTGAAAAGTAATTTATTTGGTAAGAGTTAACGCATCATTGGAGACTATGTAAGTACCATCAGATGGAAATGTAGTACATGTTGATCCCACCAGAAAACATTCTTGTACTGCCAACCGGCACTTGAAGTTTCTAGCACAGTCAGTTTAGTACATGTACTGTGGTCTGTAACCCTTTTGGTGTTTTAGCATAAATAGCTCAGATATCGGCATACAGCCATGACATCAAAGGTGCCAGGTTTCTTTGGGGGATTTAACAGATACACCGAGCCAAGACGAGGTAAGAGATCGAGAAAGATGGGACAGACAGACAAAGACAGGGAACAGGCTGAGCATGGATGGATCTACCAACAGATTCTGTTGTTTCTCCGCCCATGCACTGCCTCTTCCCTGGCTCCGCCTCCTCTATTTTCTCCTCCCTCTCCGTTTTTTAATCTTATTTCGTTTCGTTTTTTTTTCTTATTCTTATATGCTAGTGATTGAATGTGGATTGAGGTTCATGATAGTCGCGCCCTAAGGTATTTGTGGTGACTTTTGTTGTGCCACTACGGCCCCAGCTCTTTTTTCTTCATTTTTTCTTGTTTTGTTGAAGATTAACCATTCAGCAAACCCAGATAGTAGGGGGAAATGAAACAATAAGACTTGAATGCGCATCGCTTTAGTGACCGGAGATAGTGGATATGAAGAATTTCAGGGTATGCCTCAGCTGTAATGTTATGCGATTGCTTCTATTTTGTATTGTATCTCATGATAAGACTTAACCCCCAGTAAAAAAAAAAAAAAGAAAAGTAAAAGAACTCGTTCTAAATTCTGGGTGTTTGTAGCTTCAAAATAACTGGTTTTTTTTTTTAATGAAATCAAGTTTCTCGTTTAATCATGATTGTAAGTAAACTACCTTTATGTCGATTTCGGAACCTGGGATGCTTCTTCAAAGAGGAGAACCATTCATATTAAGGATCAAGTCTTAAACACATCATACTAAACTTCAAATAAACAAGGCCAAGAACAATTTCTACTATCAACAAATTGAAAAGTTCAAATCTCAGAGAAATTCTGTTTTACAATGAAGAGAGTGATTAAATCAAGGAACAAGATATAGCATCAGAATCGATACTGCATTCTTGTGGGACGTGAGTTTTGGTGACCAAATATGCTTTCATAAAGAAGCAGTACAGCTTTTAGGGGAATCAATTATGTCCAACCGAACCAGCAAGCTGTAAGCGGAAAAACTGTAAGACATCAGACGATATTACATTGTTTTAACTTGATAAGCTAAATAATAAGGCATGGGATACATATACAGACTCTGATTCGGATTGCAAAAGGATAAAGATAACAGAAGCTTATGATTTTGAATATTCATCGTCATAGATGTAGAACAAAATAATCATAGCAGAACCATTTATCCAAATTACATACTCTGATATGAAGTTGAATTCCTCAAAACACAGTCGATTAAGAAAATAAAAGCAAGGGGGAAATAGATTAGAGATATTTGGTACTACGAATTCATGATGCATGAAAGGCCCGCCCTAGAAAAATAAAATAAGGCAAGTAGAAACAATTGAAAGTCCTAGACAGAGAGGCACAGGAAAACAGGATTCTTCTATTTGTGTCCTTATGAAAGGCAAGTCAAGTTTGAGCCGGCAATTGGCTCAGTTTTTAGGGTCAACAACCTTCCCAGATGCATGTATACGAAAGCCGACTTGAAAATGAAAATAAAGGAATCGATGCAGAAGAAGCAGACAGGAAAGAAAGAATGGTGTGTACTTGTTATCATCATCAGTCCAGCAAACAGATTGAGTGCAGTCGACTTGAATACAGGGCTTCCTTTCGGCCAGTTCATGATCGAGTTTACCCGATTCGATGAACTGCAAATCCTCCAAGAGTATCACGTAATGTTTATGCACATCTTCTGCGGTTTTTTTGCCTCCAACCATGGCAGCAACCACTTCCCAACGATCAGGGTGTCGTTCATCAACCACAGCTAAAGCCAGCTCAAACAACTTGTTCTCCTCCCAGCTCCAACCACACAAAACATCCGGGAACTTATCCATATAACACCGTTTGCCTTCGATCGACCAATAACGGTTCTTTTGAGGCAATTGAGGAAGAAGACTTAGTAATCGTTTAGCATTCTAGGATTCATCGAAGAACGAGAGCTTGAGAGAGCAACTTGTTTGATTCTCCAGACCAGATTCTAACACCCCTATGTCTTTGGGGAGGTGTCAGATACCTGTTTTTGAGCAGCAGATCTTCCCTTTTTGTTTTGTTTTCCTTTTTGCCAGATACAACAGGGTGGAATTTTGTTTAGTTTAGATCTAACGACGGGCAAAATATTACTATTATAACTTTCAATCAACCTGGTCTAAAACGGGAAAATCAAAGGAGGAAAAAAGACAAAGCTTAAGGACTTAAACTAACCATTTCTTGCCATACGTATAGCCTCGGATTCTAAACATTATTAGATCCGGCAATACAGCATCTACATGATGAAATATTAAAAAGTAAATAAAAACCCAACAATGGAAAAGAATCTGTCATGGTTTAATCTTCAAACCAATGAAAAGTTTTCCCATTTCCCCCAAAATTTTCTACCTTGAAGCTCAAGAAAGAGACTTCTGTGGGCAGGATCAAATCTTGCTTGATTTTTCTGATCATAAGTTTCCATGCAATTACAGATGAGACCTTGGAAGTCATTTTCAAGGACGTTTTTAATGGGCAGAAAAGACTTGGTTGTAGAAGATAACCTTTCGTTTCCTTTCCCTTGGCCACTGAAAACTAATCCCCATTCAACTTTTTCATTTATCAAGTTTCTCAGGGTAAGCTTTGCTTTTAAATTGATGTGTTAACCTGTCCCCTTCACTCCGGACACTTCTGGAACCTAAGGATTTTACCATAAATTCAGGACAATACCATCCCAATATGGACTATGAGGTTAAGATATACTCCCAACCAGATAGTAACAGATTCATTTTAAAAACTGAAGTCCTCCGCATCCCACCTAGGTTTAAGAGAATCCTCATATTTTACGTTAAAATCCATACTCGATCCGACCGCTATATATGTATATATAATTTATTTTTATTAAATATAACAAAGGCCTAATTGAAAAAATAAAAAGAGTTTTATTATAAACATCATTAAATATATAGAGAATAATTATAATATTATGTAAGATAAGAATTTTCACCTTAAATTTAAATTCGACTATAATCAATCATACCCTTTAAAATTCTAATCCAACTCAAATCTAAATTTTTAAAATAAAAATTCAACTCAATCAAATCAAATCCAAACTCATCGTGTCCGAATAAAATGACCATCATACTCCAAACTCTTGCACTCTTTGTACATTTGAATTTTTTTATAATTGAATGATCAACTTGTAATTTATCCTATAAAATATTTAAAATATTATTATCATAAAAATATATTTTTATTTATAAAAATATAATCTAAAGACAATTTTTGTTTTTCGAAGTAACAACCATTTTCCATACCCCCCAGAAAATGATTTCGACCCAAAGAGCAAGAAAGGTAAGAACGTGGCCCCACCTTCCACGCATCAAACCAAATCCCATCCGCTCTTTTTATTTGGCTTTGACGATAGACTAGTGGTATTATTTTAGGCAAATTAATTTATAGGGTAAACTACCTATTTGGTCACCACCTATTACTTAATTTATGTTTTTGTTACCTCAATTATTATTTTTTTTCAAAATTATACCCAATATTATGTTTTGATTCTCTTTTAACCACTTGTCGTTAAAAGATTAACAGTAATGCTGATATATCAACATAAGATAATATCACGTCAATATTAGAAAATAAAAAAAATACATCAACATCATCAATAAAAAATTAATGATAGGTATAACCAATATTTAATATGTAGTATGAATTTGAAATAAAATAATAATTGAATGACTGAAACATAAACTAAATCAGTGAACAAATAAGTAATTTACCGTAATTTATACGATCATATATCATCTTGCTAATAATTTATTAATCTAAGTTCAAATAGCAACACGAATAATAAAATATTCATATTTTAAAGCAAGTTTGTATATTCGTTAAAATATCACCAACACTTCAATACTAGTCCTATAAGTCGTTGGTCCATAAACCATTCTCAGATATAGAAAAGATAATAATTGCAAACCCCGTAATGCATGGCTATCAAGTTTGCTCCGTGGGGACAATAATACAAAATGTCAACTATAATTAACCCTAAAATATTTGTGTAACACGCTATATCATGATGATATTGTAAATCTGTAATTGTTTCGAGAACAATCAGTAAAAAAATACAACATGCGATGGGACACGTCATGCAAGACATATGCATCACCAATATGAATTAGAATATTTTATAGGCCCTGATTGCAAGACAACAAAGAGTATTGACCCTTTCATGCATGAAATGAGATGGTTAATGACAAATTCTGAAACCAGTACTATGGGTCATTGAGCAGAACTGAAGGTTGCAATTGCATCCATTTCCTGTTGCAAAAGAAGAGCATCAACAAAGACGTCCGAATTCTCTCTCTGCATCACATCATCTATAGCATGATATGTGATGCCGACACGATGATCGGTGACACGCCCTTGAGGGAAGTTATAGGTTTGAATGCGCTCAGATCCGTCTCCGCTACCAATCTGCTTATATCAGAGTGGTCAGTATCCATTCGTCTAGATTTGAAGGACCAAAAAGACTCGAATTTCATCTCATGGTAATCCATATCTGTTCGGATCTAAGTTTTGATCGAGATGTATGAAGTCTAGACCTCTCTATTTCATACAGCTTTGCACAGAGCACTTTAAGTGCCTTGGCTTTGTTCTATCATATGAAGCAAAAAGGAAGAAGAGAGTTACAAAAGCATCAGGATAAACATATCCATGGCTGATAAGAGGGATGATACTGTTATAGAAAACCATCCAAATTGATATTTCAGTGCTTTACTCCCTATCTTAGTAACATATAATCCATATATTGCATACTTAAGAGACCTCAAATACGCCATATATATCATTAATCAGAAACTCTCAAAAACTACTTTCTATTGAGCTTTGAAAGGCATAAAGGAGCTATCTCTCCCCAATCCCAATATTCGAACCCAAGACCTCCAGGTTAAAAGTTGAATTCTAACTGATTAAGTATCTTCCTTGGGGGCAAACAAGGTGGTTCTGAAGATAATCAATAATAAGGCAATAAAATTGACAGAAGGCTGAAACTAGCATGTTGACTAAGAGTTGTGAAGCAAAAAGTTAGCACATCATAAGCTTTGCAAATGAAAAACCTTTTTTCATGTTTAGATCATATTGAAACAAATAAAATCACTCCAAGGTGGAAAAAATAAGGAGAGACAGCAACCCTAAGAAGTATTATGTCTTGGCAACCTATCACACGATATGGAAAAATGATGTTTTGAGCAAAAGATCTAAGTTCTTATAAAAAAAAGCAAAAGATCTAAACTAAAACATTTTAGTACTCTACCATATGCTGGGATCGTTCTTCCTGTATGGATACTATTATACCAGTGGGCAAATGTGTGACTCTTACTGCACTGCACTGTTGGTGGTGTTTGCATGTTGACCGCCAGAACCACCAGACCTGTAAGTATCAATTCTCAGATCTTCATTTCTTAACCGGACATCTACCTGCATAACCTCAACAAGAACATTAGTCAAAGCATGCAAAAAGGATATAACAGAACACTTAACAGAATGTTCAACGAAATACATCTAACAACCTTTCAATTTCAAACAGATTAAAAAGAACAAAAACAAAATACAAAACAAATGAAGCACAAATCAAATCCTTAAGCACCTCATCAGCCTGAGGGAGAATAGCAACAGATACAGCACTAGAGTGTATACGTCCAGATTTATCTGTCACCGGAACACGCTGCACAAAGAAACTCCAAGTAAATTTACAAGTTATGCTTAAAAGCCTTATATTGCATGTAAAAAATTCAGAAACAAAACCTGAACCCGGTGAATTCCACTCTCAAATTTAAGTTTCCCATAAACACCAGATCCTGATATTGCAGCACTAGCTTCCTGATAAAGAGCACAAGAAGTCAAGGTTCTGTGATGCAGACAGAAGATGAACTCCAAAAGATGATTCCTTAAAGTTTATAAAGATCAACACCCTAGCAAATGCAGAAAATGGAATGCATACCTTGTATCCTTTCAGATCAGACTCTGCTATATCCACCACTTCAAACCTCCAACCCTTCTTATGTGAATATCTCTCATACCTGTCATAACCATGCAAGTAAAAACCTCTCAGATAAGCAGCTTCTAGACAAAATTCATGATTCTCCAAAGATCATGCTGTATTGGCTTACATTTTGAATACATCCATTGCAAACAAAGAAGCCTCCTCCCCACCAGTTCCCGAGTAAAAAAGGGGGAAAAATAATCAGCAAAAAGAATAAAAGAAACCAGCATTCAAGTGCCCATCTCAACATACAGTCATTACCTGCTCTAACCTCCAAAATGCAGTCCCTCTGGTCAGCATCATCCCCAGGAAGTAACGACTTGAGTAGCAAGTTCTGCGGTCTTTTCTCTTCCTCCAAAGCCTTATGCAAATCCTCAGTTGCCATCTCAAGCATATCTTTGTCGTCGGGGCATTTAGCCATCAACGACCTCAAACCATCAATCTTCTACTTAAAATGGGGAACCAAAAAAAGAAGCTTAAAACGGCATCCTCATAGGACAAAATCACAAGCTAATAGAAACTAATAGCGCATAAAAAACCCCTAAGGCTATAGTATATATACTATATTATCATTCATCAACCCAAGTGAACTTAACTGAATACAAGATACATGATACTATCAACCAAGGTAGAGAAAATGTTGTTTCACCGAACCAGAGGATAAAACCGTAACAAACATTAGTACGAGACAGGAAATGAAGACAAAAACTATACCTTCTGTTTGGTTCTCAACTCACTGATAAGGTCCATTGAGTCCCTAAGTTTTCGAAGCTCTTTGTTAGCTTTGGAATACTCGGTTGGTGAGGCTTCCGGCTGACTTCAACCCAAGCCACCAAGCTCAATTAAAATAAAACAAAGATCATAATACAATTAAACAGAAGCATTAAATAGAAAAAAATGAGATTAAAAGATATTACCTGGTTTATGAAATTCTCGAGAAAAGCACTCCTATGCTCAATAGCAACTAATCTTTGTTCCATGATTTTAAGAAGGTCAGTTGAAACCTGAGGCTGCAGCTCTGCCCATTACGAAAACAACACTTAAATTTGTACTTTTTTTCTGAAACAGAAACTAGTAAGCACATAGAAAGGCTCACCAGTGGAATAATAGCGACAAAAGGATAGAAAAATGCTCGGAATCGCTGGCAAAGGAAAAGATCTTTCATTGCAAGGATTGTGATATGATTTTGCTACTTGAAATTGCCTCTATGAATTGATGAACCGGCTAAACCCTTTTCTGAGTCTCATAGTTATTTCCCTTTTCTCCAGTTCGCCTTATCGATTGCTAGAGCTCTGTTTGTTGTTCAGTTTCCGGGGGAAGTAAGTATTGCCTGCCGTACCAAGTACTCGCGAGTTGCGACTTGCGAACTTGTCGCCTGTTAGTGATGGAAAGTTAAGGGCCAGGAGAAGGCGGCCCACAACTCATCTACGATCGGAAAAGATAGAGGCCCAGATACTCCGAGTTCTGAACTTCTGATCAAGTTTTACTGGGGTGGATTTTCTTGTTTGAAAACCGGATTTGGGGCAAGACGGTTTGGGTCACTAAGGG